AAACACGTCTGAGCTCAAGCCTGGTGGCCTGGGTCTTAATGAGTCTTTGTTTGAGAAGGGCTGCGAGTTCTGAGTTGTAGTAGTCGGCTTAATAGGTGACGGCAAAGGTGATGACAGTCTTTCAGGAGGCATAGGTGCGGAAGAAGAATTTGAAGAGCTTACAGAATTCAACTGAGGCAAGCCATTTACAACAATCAGCGTACCATTTTCTTGAAGCACATATTCCTGAGGAATATCAAATCCATTAGATGAGCCATCAAAGGAAAAAGATTCCAAAGGTCCATGATTAGACATGTGGGCCAATATACTGGCGTATTGACTGAACCCATCACCACATTCCGTGCAGATGAAAGCACTGGCTTCTCCTCCCAAGTGCGCTGAAGCAACAGTATTCACAGCTGACTGTTTTTCCATGATAAAACGATTCTGTCCATGTACTGATGGCATCACTTTTGAACCTGAATATGCAGCTAAATCTCTATACACCCATGGGCAAAGATGTCCATGGCAATCAGTGACGGTTCTTTGTCCAACCAAATGATGAGATGTCAACTCCCCAAGTCTTCCACTTTGTAGCACCTGGAGAAATAAAACAAATGTATATGAAAACCATTTATATGATTTTGGTAGTTTCAAACATTGTTTAAATATAAGTGAAGATGACTCCATTTAAAAATCAAAAACAAAACCATATGGCTGTACAGTATTAGCTAACACAAATCCTCCAGTCTCAGTGTAGATGACAGAAGCTGTGACGTGAAATCAGATAGCAAACCTTTTAGTAAAACGATTGAGAAACTACAACGGTCAACAACAGCCATCCTTGACCTTCCACAAATCAACCACTCAAGATGACTTTTAATCCACACCACATCCCCACTCTTCTACTTTTCCTTTTAGGGTAAGTTCTGTGCTGGCCTTCACTGCATTTTTAGCTGAAAGTCAAATAAATCAGAAGAGTTACCACCCTGAACTGACAAAAATGTCCACTAAACACAGAGTCAATGCAATTTTCCAACGAGAGTTTGTAAAAGTGGTGCTTTCATAGGCTCGCGGACAGATGGAAATGCCCGTAATCAGAGCTATGCACTCTCTTTGGAAGTGAATTCGGTCACGATCTATAAATGCTGTAAATGCAATCATTAAATGCAATCAATAAATGCGATGTTGTGATGGCTTTGCCAGTTTTGTTTTGCAAGAACGTGATGCCGCACGTTTGAACCTGCAATAAATGCAATCAAACTGGCACAGAATAAGTTTTCCTTTTGACAAAACGGTTTGAACGAACAGCTCCAAATAGAAAGTATTCAGAACAGCTAGACTTCAACACCACTTATTGTCTTAGTCTTTTCAGAGAAAACAGAGATGACAAGAAGGTGTCGTAGTGCTGGGTTGAAAATGTTTCGTGAACTAGGCTACCATCAACTATGAAAGAGCCCAACATGTGCTGTCCTTTTCTTAACACCCGGTAACCTACCCATTTTCATGGGTTCCTCCCTTGGGAGCTCGAACTGCAACAGTGAGAGGTTACTTTTCACTACTTACCATGCCGCCTTGCTATTTTTATAAATAACACAGAGATAGGGAGCGGACACATGGAGTCTGTGTAGAATTAGTTGTTGCAGAATATGCAAGGCACTGTGGTGAATGTTTGCAAAGAGAAGACAAATAAACATGGTTCTGTTTAGCTTACAGCAATCTATATAATCATCACATTATCCCACAATGATACTGTGGGATAATACTGTGCATGGTTTCCAATATTATGCAACCATAAGGAATGCTGGAGTAACACTTGCAAGCTTCACTTTGATCGCTGAAGAAGCGGATAAAAAAAAGAAAAAGAAAAAAACTTTGATGGAGAAATGGTGGTTTATCACTCCAATAAACTCAACACCTTGAGTCAGAACTCTACTGCCCAGTAGAGTCTATAACTATACCCAATGTTTTATCATCATTCTATTTTTCTGTATTGAGAACTTTAGCGCCAGCATTACTTCCCATTCATTGCCAGACTGAAATCTATAAAATGTTTGTGACAGTTCTGCTCAGGAATGAAATTGCTCAGTTTTGGACCAATCAAAGCTTCTGTTGTACAAGATGACCAGGATTTCACAATATCAAGCTGAACATTTTGTGATTAAAAAACAAACCAAAAAAATGGTAGCAATATGTGTTTTGCTACATATATTGTAGCAATCTGTTTTCTAAAGATTCAGATGTAAAATGCAAGTTCATAACACCACAAATATTTTCGCCAACACAGTGGCAGTGCACATACACACTCATACATTACGCAAATTAATTGAGACCAATTAACAGTCCTACCTAACAGTCACATTTTTTATATTGTGGGAAAATGTTAGCGTACCCAGAAAAACCCAGCCATATACAGAGAGAACAAAAAGTCCATCTAGGTAGACACCAAGTGGGCAAAATCAACCCAGAACATTTTTGAGGAAAGCTAACAGAGCTAACACCTGTGCAGCCCAGCTGTACAACCTTCAAGTGTTTACTTTTTTTTAATTGAAGCCAATTCAATTGAAGTACCAATATTTCAGAATCACAACTATAGAATTTGAAGCAATCTAATGATGTGCGCTCTTGTTTCTGACACATGTACACCCAATGAGACCCGCATCAAAAATCCGAGTGTTTCAGCTGCTTTCCTGGATATCCCAAGTTATTGGCAATTTGGGACAAGCTGCCAGTAACTTCGCCCATAAATATCAACTCAGCTGTCTGGCAAGCTCCCTCCCCGTTTCGGACGAGTAAAAGTGAACAAGAGACTTTAAAAATAGGTGTTAGTGAAGGCCCAGACCAGGGTTTTCCCCAGAAAATTTGTTTAGCGCAGTAGTATGGACACAATGGCAGTCCACCATGTTTTTGTGTTAAAAAATGCTAAAAGTTAAAAAGATTTGGAGATGTACAAGTCTCCATCACCAGTATGCATAATTTGGAAATAATAGCATATAAGACCAACAAGCAGGTGCAGGGACAGAGGACTAAGTTCAATGTGTCAACTATAAACCTAGTTTAATCTGACTTTATTGTCAATGTTACTTGTAAAAAAAAAATCTAGTTAAAATAAAACACTTAACCTGGTGGGGGGCCAAGTAAAACCTGGTGGTCTGCCAGGCTTATAATACACCGGGGGAAACCCTTCCAGACAGAGGAAAGGGAGCTTTTTATGAAAAGAATATGCAAAATTCAAATTCATTAGCAAATTTACAACAATAATAATAATAAAAAAAGCAACTGTCTATGACTTCTCTAAAATTTTAATGATTGAGAATAACGGCATTCCAGTTTACCCGATTGCCAGGTATTTTAACAAAGTTTCACACATCCAAATCCTTACTGGAATAAAGTTGGGCATTTAATTCGTGGAGCACTCTCATTGTAAAACCATACTGAGTTAGGCAAGTGCTTATTTCTAATTCTGTTCACAATTCTTCAAACTTTATCCAACGATTGCATACAGAATCTCTCGTTACAGTATGCTGTGTGTGTTTTTCTATGATCGGTCTACAGCAACGAAGAGAATTTGCCATGTAAATTATCATTCTAACTTGATGCTTTATATGTACACAAAGAAAGACCTGGTGAGCAGAATTTACCTGAGCTTTTAAGTGCTTGGGATGTATGTAAATGATCATAATAATGTAATTATAATCAGAAAGTCAATTATGTGGCTAAACGTGATCTTTCCCAAACCTTGCTTAATAATAATAAAAAGTCTGAAGGCAAACCAGATTTGAAATACATAACCTGGCAGACACACAAACGCATACAAGTTTCATTGTTTAGATTTCTAAACGTGACACACAGACGGCGTAAAACAGTTTTTTCCACTATTTTATAGCCAACAAAACATTTGATAGGATTTTCTAACAGTTATTAAAAGAGAAATCTTCTTGACATTAATGTTTTGACAGTGAAAGATTGGCACTTTCGGCACTGCTGCAGCGATAATTAACATGGACACACTGTGCATGCTAACGCAATCAACGTTTACTTTAATTAAGCTGGACTTAACATACAGCACAAGAAGACAAAATCAGCAGGCAATAATCAGCGAATGAAAGATTCCCAGAAAAGCTTACGTTGCTTTAACCCTCCTATTGGAGCGATAACTCGTGAGCTTATTGTGATCGAAACGGCTGACTTTAGCTCCTGCTAGCTAACGCTACACCTGGATTGCTGAGACGTTTAGTGATTTTATTTAAGAGTTAGACAGTTAAGTTACTGAAACCTCATTCCAACTATCGGCTACGTTATGACTTACCGTGAAATCTCGCACATCACGGAATACGGTGGCTAACAATATGTAACACCCAGCTGAAAACCGATGAGCAACGATAGCCTGTTAGCAGAATCAGGCCTCGGTGCTTCGACTCCTACTTCTTCTTCTTCTAATTCCATCTTCTCACAGTGTAACCAGCCATCAGAAGCATTACCGCCGCCTCGTGTTTATTTGAGGGTTTGAACAAACATCAGAATTGTAATCTACTTTTCGACATGCTTTTGCGAAACGGTGTCACTAAAACATCACTTCTGCCGTAAATATATTTTACAATAGAGCTATTTATATGTAAAATTTAAAATTCCAAGTTTTATAGCATTTTTCAGTTTGATATATTTTTTTTCCCTTAGGAAATTTAATTTGGACTATTTGCCATTATTTTACTCACTTTGTTTTCATGTTTTACAGTCAGGGTCCTTACATTTATGCTATCAAAGCATTTACTATTTTAAAATATATTTCTAAAACATGTGCAAACACGACCATTTATGACCTTTTATGACCATGATGAATCCATCATCATAGAACATCTTAGAAAGAAAAAACAGTTTCAAAGCTCAAAGTTTGAGACATCTGAATCCAACAAGACAAAGTGTATGCTGTAAGCGAACTAAAATGATCATGTTCAATGATTTTATTCAAGAGTTGGTACATGACAATATATTAAACATACCATTGAAATAAAATGCTGCAGTTATTTTTATGTAATTATCAAACAAAGAAAAATAACAAGTAAAATCTTGCAAACAAAACAGACTCAATGAGAATAATAAAACTGACAAACTTAACCAAAAAAAAAAAGAGAAAAATCTTGCTATTTCTGACATGCATCTTAACAATTGCAGATTTTTTTTTCTAAAATTTCCCTCATATTTTTACACCTAAAACCTTTACACCTAAAAATAAAGTGGCATTTTTAACCTTCAATTATCTGATGGTAAAATTTGAACATAGATTAAGCTTTTTCGGTTAACAGTTTCAGAACCCTGGTGTTTTCAACATAACCTTCCAGCCAGACACAAATTCTGAAAGATGCCGGTCATTACTGAGGAGTTACATCACACACATCAGTAAATGCAAGATATGTCCACACAGTGTTTTGTCACTTTAATAAGTCCATCATTCTTTCTTTCCTTCTTACTTTCTTTCAGGAATAAGCTGACTCTCAAATATTGTAAAAAAAAAAATAAAAAATTCTTTGGCATTTACAATGAATATATGAAATACAAGAAATATATACATGAAAAATATTTATTTGATGGTAAAATTAAGAGCTTGGTCTACAGGAAATAGCATAATGCAAGTGCACATGTCAAACTTAGAAAATATCAGTCATGAGAAATGTTTATTTGATTTTGTCCTTCTCTGAAATAGTCATTTGTATACATCACCTCAATTTAATTTTTTTTTTTTTATAATCAGAGCCAATTATAATGGAATAAAATAGGGATTTTGTAATAGTTGTCCAATCCTTTGAGCTGGTTAGAAAATTCAGTGCTATTCCTACAATTCAGTATTGTGGTCAAATCTCTTGTTTTCACTGTTGCTGGTAGATTTTGTGTAAGTGTTGGTCTCATCTTCCTGAAATACAGTCTCCAACACCTTCAGGATGGATTTGGAGATTTTATCCTTGAAATCCTGGCCAATGAATATGTACAGCACCGGGTTCAGGCAGCTGTTAAGGTAGGCCAGACACGTGGCAAGCGGTATCCCAACACTGATGACATGGGCCAGTGTTTCGCTTTGGCTGTTTGGATCAAATCTTTTCAGCTCAACTATCGTCATGATGTGAAAGGGAGCCCAGCACAGGAAAAACGTGATGATGATGGCAGCAATTACCCTAAAAGGGCGGCCTGATCGTTTGGCCAGTGTGGGGCTATTCCTCAGGCGGTGGATTATGATGGAATAACAGGAAAGCATAACACCGAAGGGGATGATGAAGCCCAGGAGCACACGGGTAATGGTCATAGATCGATGGCGAAAAAGTTGCAATTGAATCACAGCTGGATTGGTATAATTATTGGAGAAAGCATAATTGTTGTAGCAGATGGTAATCTCATTGTAGCTTTCAGTATCTCTAAAGACAAAGGCAGGAAGGCTGAGAGACAAAGCCAATGCCCAGACACACAGACTCGTATAGAAAGCCTTCCTCACGTTCCTATGATTCTGAGCCCAGATCGGCCACACTACGGACACCAACCTGTCCACACTGATCACCACCAGGGTGTAGACGCTGGCGTACAGATTTAGGAAATTCACTGTGCTGTTCAACTTGCACATTAACTTTCCAAATGGCCAGTGGAAGTTCAAAGCCTGGTATGTGATGCTCAGGGGAAGGAAGGCCGTAAAGAGGAAGTCAGCCACAGCCAGGTTGAGAAACCAAACCGTGTTAACATTTTTTTTCATGCTGAAGCCGGCCACCCAGATAACCAGTCCGTTTCCCAACACCCCAAGCACACAGGCCACGCCGAAAACACAGAGAGACAAGATGTGTAGAGAATATCTGAGATTTTCATTGTAGTTGGAGGAGGACTCCTCTGTGTTGTTGATTTGATGGATGGATGCATTTGTATCCATGGCTGTCCTGATACCTGCAGGACAACATGAGGACAGAATGAGCTCTGATATATTCCAAGATCGATTAATTACTCTTCACAGTTCTGTTTTGTAATGTTTAGGGTGTAGAATACTTTTCAGTAAGAACCACTTTTCTGTATGTTTTTAATGGTCTGATGTAATAATGTTTTCATGACCTGTAAGCGGAAAATCATCATCAACATAAATAAAGATTTTCAAATGTCCTTTTGCCTTAGTGATGAAGTTCCTGAAATAAATGTGTTTTTCTTAATTTCTTAAATGGGTCGGTATTTCCAAAGTCTGGCTTTGGCTTTTATTTAATAATGTTAGCATTGAAATACAGATCTACAAATAATGTAATTATTCTTTTAATTTTTTATTCAATGCACGTTTAGAGTTTGCAGTTATGCGAAGCACTGTGTTTTCACTCCAGCTGTTTTAAAACTCTTTATTAACAAATCTAATCAGGCAGATTTAAGTTCAATTTAAATCTAACATTTCTATTTTTTGGTGTAGAACATAAAGCACATTCTCATGTTCATGAGGAGAACATAAAACTGCACGGAAAGACCCCAGCTGGACAAGGAAATGGACAACCCCACCCTGCAGGTCAAAGTATAAATGTAATCTTAAAAAATAAGATCACTTTATTTTCTTCTATCTCCTGAAAAAGCTCCTCTCCTATTAGCTCATTTTGGTTGATAGTGTTAATTTTTTTAAATTTTATTTCATTTGTTCTGTTGCCATGGAAATTAGAAATAACTAACTCATTTTACCTTCAAAAGGACACAAATCAAGTTTAAAATGTATTAACTAACCAACATACCTTTTCGAAAGCGTCTCTTATCTGATCTTGGTTAGTCCGTGATCAAGTTTGACTGATAAAACACAAACCAGTGAATATCAGTTTATCTGTGGTTGATAATGCCTCCGCCCATATCAAGGCGGACCCAGAGGCCAAGCAAAGTGTGCATTTACATACTCTTTAGCCATTTCTCAGAAACATTATTAATAAAAGGTTGGAACGTTGAATATTTTGCTTTCAGGTGTGATCTAATTAAAAGCTTATCTGAGTCTGATACTCAGATTAGCTAATTGCTGGAGATATCTTAAAGTTTGAGATTATAACACAAAGTAAAACAGAAAAAAAGGAACAATTTCTTTTATATGCATGTAGTATTTCAAAGGAAGCAAAGGGACATCGATTTGTGAAAGAGATTCCTAAGATATTGACACCTTAGTGCACATTAATTTCCCCAAAAATATTTGTTGATAGCAAACAACAATATTCCTGAACTGTCTGCCTTTGTCTTGAAAAAATATGATTACTGTTGCCTTTCTCTGACATTAGAAGCAGATTCTTGCTTGGTTTTCCACTCCTGTTTTACATCTGGAACACAAGTTGCAGCATGTTTTACAATATTCTTAAATGCGACCACTTCCTTTCCACATACACAACACAAACAAAAAAAATTGTCTTTTTCCCCACAGATGAACTGACTCAAGCTTTATCTTTGCAATAGGGTTGACCCTGTAGTGGGTCAAACCTATTGCAGTATGGTGAAAAAACTGCAACTTTGAAACCAGACCCTCGCAAATCAATCAAACTTATCTTCCTACTGCAGGTGTATGCTAATTTAAACCATCTGGCCATTGCTTTTCTATTTTATTTTATTTTCCGAGAAAAACTTCACAGAAAAAGACATTTCTAAGATGAGATTACTGCGCTTCAACAGTCTGAATGGTATGGTTTAGTTAGCTGTGATGACTGTGCTCTAAAACAGGAAATAACATTTCACCCCCACAACAGTTCATCTCTTACAGGTGGATGAACTTTACTCCAATCTTCTTTGCAGAATTGTTTCAATTATGCCACATTGGAGGGTCTTCTTGAAGGGTCATGCAAAGATATCCCGAGTAAATTTAAGTCTAAACTGGTGTGCTTTGGATAATTTACAGAATTTTTTTAGTTGAGAACTAATTGATCTTTCCATAAGTTGTGACAAGTTGTCCTGATACTGAAGCCACAAAACTTGACCCCACTTTTGCATCGAGTACCTCCTGGTTCCATATTGGGCCTTTTATTTTTTTCTCTACATATTACTGTTGGGATATGTCATAAAATAAATAATCACAATGTTAAATTCATTGCTATGCAGACGACCAAGATGCAGTAATCTGCTTTCTGTCCGTAACTGCATCTCTGCAATCAAACAGTGATTGAGTCAGAACGCTCTGTTGATAAATGACTAAAATACAGAGAGGATTCTATCTGGTGATAAAGCTCTTTGTGGTCTGGAAAATTCTATCAGTGACCACGTGAAAAACCTTGACAAAGCTTTACAATTTGACAAACAAATTGCATCTGTTGTCCAATCTGGATTTTGTCATGTAGACCTTCTAATGAAGGCTGAAACTTTCTTTAATCATTGTGAGTTGTAGAAGGCTGTTCATGCATTTATCAGTTTAAATGCATGACCTGCTTCTTTTATCAGTTGTATCAGTTTTGTGGAATTGCAACACACTTCCTATCGGTGTACATCAGTCATCTTTGAGATGCCTCCAACCCGTGCAGAATGCAGCAGTTCGTCTTTTAGCCAACACTTTTAGACGGGATTACATCACACCCGTCTTATCCTCTCCTCTTTGGCTTCCCACTTTTATTATTTGTTTTAAAGCCCTCAGTAGAATCGATTCTCCTTACTTAAAGTCACTGAGCTTCTCTTCTTTGAGATCAGATAATCTGTTCCTTCTTAGAGTTTCTCATATTAAATGCAAACATTGAGGTGATTATGGTTTTTTCTCTGATCCATAAGCTAGCTTAGTCCTTTTAAATCAAAACTTAAGACTTTTTATTCCAACAGGCTTTTATGACTTAAATGTGTGGTGACACTTTTGGTTTTATGTTGTTTGTTTGTTCAGTTGTTGCTTTATTGTTTATGTTCTTTTTGACTCTGTAAAGCACTTGATTGATTGTTTGAGTTAACTAAAGAACAATGACTTTTCCCTCAAAAGGTCAGGTTGATTTACATAGCTTTTTTCTCTTGATAAATTATTATTATTATTATTTGTATTTACTCAGGTTACTGCTGCCTAATTACATTTGTTTGCTCATCTTAAGCATTTGAGAGAGATGAGAAAGCAAAGACAGAAGAAATCTCTAGAGTGGGGAAAGTGTAACTACAACAAGTGCATGGAAACAATATAGTTTGCTTACATGTTAAAAACAGAAGTAGATGGGAGATGAGTACAAACTGATAATGGCATAAGATAATTCACAGCTCTGACACAATAGATGGGCGAAAACACAAGTCACATAAAAAAGGGAGGAAACCTTAAAGTGGTGCCATGACATTAAGCAATCTTCCATTACTTAATCCAGATTGAAAAATGTCTTCAGTGTTGTGGTAAGGTTTAAAAAGAACAAGTAGCCAGATAACATGCTGTGCTACATTACTGCTTTTATATTTACTTGATTTCTTTATAAAATATTAAAATCATTTCAGGTTTTTGAATGATATTTATATGCTTCCAGTCCATTTTCATAAGTAACATCAATTCAACTTATTTACACAGGACCAACTCACAACAAAGATTATATCAAAGCATTCTTCTGTATTATTCTCTTCTAATAATACAGAACCCCAAAAAAAAACACAATTCTACCGGAATGATCCCATCACGAACCAATCATTAGCATAGATTATGTTCGATATACAGTCCAGTTCAATCCAAAATTATGTCATGAAACAATGACATTGAGTTATTTATTGAACGGCAAAAACCACAGCAGATTTTCTCATTACTCTTCTCAGTCTGCACACTTTGAAGTATTATTTTATCCTTACCAAAGTCTTGCAATTGCTCTATGGTGACCGATGAACTTTTAAGTAAGACAGCGAATGCTCAAAAGCAGGCTGTGATCTTGGTGTAATCTAAAGAGCAAATCTGGATAACTCACTCCAACTTCTCAACTCAGCCCATCCAGCAGACTGCTGAACTTATTTTTTGTCACCTGATAATTTCTGGCGTGTCATGAGACTCCTCACACACCAGGAGAAAAAACAGATTTGACACTCCTCCCAGAAAAAAAACACTGGTCCCGTCACAGAAAACCCTAAATATTGATCTGAAAGTAATTTTTAGGCACAAGGTTTACCTGTTGGGTCTGATGTTACTGGCTGGGAGACGAGGCGGAAACCAAAACTTTCAGGGAAATAAGAAATGATCCCTTTTTCAGCCCAAACGGACCGTCTGCATGGCGTGAGTCGTCCTCCAGAAAGTTTATTTCTGGATGGTGGGGAAGTGAAAACAGCCATGACAGTTCAATGTCCACTGCTTCTTCTTCTTCCAATGGTCTCCTCTTTTAAGAAATATGTAAAAAATACATGCTTTAGGTAAAGGGGAAAAAATTACCTTATTTTATTCCTCTGCACTTTGGGAATACTCTAAGAAAAAGGCTCAAATCCTACTGGTCTTGCGAGATCTGACATGACCTTTGGTTTTCCCCATTTATCTCAGAGTCACGATGTGAAAGCACAGGAAGAAATGATGAGGAATCTGAAACGAGAAATCTTTGCCAAAAAAAATTGTAGTTTAGATACTGAAGATGACAACAGACCCAAGGAGGAAGTGAATACTAATTAAGGCCTTGCGGTGAAACAGTTGCATGGAATTCAAATTTTCTTCAACAGTTGCTGAGGTTTCTGTGATCAAGCAGAAACCTCCATGGAGTCAGACGTTCTCAAATCAGCGGTCAATAAAGAAACAAAGGTGTTGAAATTAAGCCAAACACTGCAAAATAAAAGATTTCAAGTTGTTGGAATATGTTCTCATCTTAAGCTGTCTTTAAGTTATCTTGTGTTATGTGTTCATGTTTACTGATTTACTTTGTAAGGTACAGCTTTATGTTCTATATCCTGTCACTCTGTTTATGTGCATGTTGTACTGTTGTTGTCCACTGGGGGCAGTGAGAGCGAGTTCTTGTTTATAGGCAGCACTGTTCTAGAAAGAACCCGACGAAGAAAAGTTTTCTGTGTGCCTGACCGTTCCACAATAAAAGAACACAGCTATCTAAGAAAAGCAGTGTGGTTCATTGTGATGATGAATGCAGATCAAGAAAACACAAACCCAACACAAGTGAACGTAGCTGAATTCTCATCAACTTGTTGTATGTGCTGTTCCAAACAGTTCTTCACAGTTAGGTGTAAATGTTCCAACAGATAAAGATGTGGTTAACTATGACAGACAGGAAAGAAGATAGAACATGTTGTGTAGGTTTCAGATACACAGAAAGGTTTCAGATACACAGAAAAGAGGAAATAACATGTTCTGTAGGTTTGCTGTCGTTACAGCTAAAAAGTGAGATAGCTTATATACATTTTTCTAACAGGAGCTTATATATTTATTTACTTTGGAATAATGCTTTATAACTTAACTTTGCTGTTTTTCCTCCACAACTTCATGATGGTATTTGATCTGAGAATAAAGTTCAAACCCCTACGGCTCATGATCTTTTATTTTGCTGGGGTGACAGCTCTATGCTTCCTTTGAATTTTCCCCGTCTCATCTCATATGCTGTCACTTATCAGTTTGGTTGCTTGTGGTATCGTGTTTTCTTTTACAAAGACATGGCAGATAGGGTTTACCATGTAATGGCTTGTTTTTTCAGCTCCTTGATGTCAGGTGGTGGTTGTCATAAACATAAAAAGGTCTACGTCCTATAAAAAAAAAAGTCCAATCACCCATAAGCAATGAGATGTACTTTAAAAACCACTGCTACCTCAAAACTGAAGCTGCACCAACCAGAATGAACAACTGACTGAGTCTGGTTGAGCATCGGATCTTTAAACTTTAATTAAAATCTATGAAAGTAAAGCATCACAAACAAAAACTTTAACAGCACAAAAAAGCCTGTATGTAGCACACTTTATAGGCAGTTGATTTCATTAATGTGGTAGGAATTAATGACCTGGCTGACCCGTAAGCTTTTATTATTATCTTTGAAGTGATAGTGGTGCAAGCAGCATGTTTTATTTTTATTATTTTTTATTTTTTTTTGTAGCAGAAACTAGCACAAACATTTGACAGCATTTTTATTTGGTTAGATTTGAGGAAGTTGGAAAATATAATAAAGACACCATCTCAACCACAACGCCTTTCACAACTGTTTTATGTGTGTTCATATTTTTTTATGTAAACAGTTTATTTACATATTGATATCCAACTTTCAATGGCACATTGGAATTTTAAAAGACACATCAATACTTTTATGTTAAAAAAAACAAAACAAACAGCAACAAAAAACAAACACATGATAATTAGTGCCTCTGTTTCTTTTTCTTACCCTGACTGTTTCATCATCTCCTCCAAACAGCCAAGCTTTTGCACCATCTCCAGTATTTGATTGCGACAAAGTAGTTCCTGGACTGGTGGTGCAAGTGTTTGGTTGCCGAAGCAGTTTTGAAAAATAGCAAAGTCCTCCCCTCATATACAACTATTTCTGCATTTCCATGTCAAATGGGGACTCTGAACGATATTGTGGACTTTTATCAGTCACTTCATAAAATTATGCGTTCAGGGAAGGTTCACACAGTTCTGTGTTTTTATTTCATTTTGCTCTGATACAGTCTCCACTGCATATTCTAACATTTTCTTCAAATAAAGGATTTCTTTGTACTACAGATGAATTCTTTGTTGGAACAAAAGTCACTTTGGCTTCTACTAATTACTCCATGATAACATATGTCTTAATTTTAAATGTTTTCATAACAACCTTTCTCTTTCAAATAGTTTGAGGCCCATCATATTGGATAGAAATTATCTGTGACCATCAGAATTGCAGATTCTCAATTGCATTTAAACCTGGACTTTGAACAAAGCATGGAAATTTAGATCAGAGGTATCAAATTTTCTGTGAACTTTTTAGAAAAAGGGAGATTTCCAAACAGTATTGGTAAAAAAACAAAAACAAATCAGGGGTGGCAACGTAAGCTGTTGCTCTAATTCCTCTTAAGATAAAGGCATAGAATTCCTCAAATTGTTTGATTTGATTACTCCCTGCTTTTCTCCAGAAAACAATCTTGTGGTTGAACAGCAATTGGATATGTTATTCAACTGGATATGGTATCACTCTATGATCTGACATGCTTGGTTTATTTAGCCAGGTTTAATGTCGGTAAAAGTTTGTGAATGTTTGTGGTTCTATTTACTATTGATTTAAAGAGAAAGTAAAATGACTGCTTAATAAGAAAAAATAATAATACATTGTATTGTACTTAAAATGTTCTTCCTTTTCAAGAAAATTGATTATTTTCTGCAAAAATTTGCCCTGAAATAAAAAAAACAATAACATAAAAACAAAAAAAATATCTATTTACATTAAACTCTTAGGCTCTCAAGCCAAATTTGGATAATTGTTGAACTGTGGTGAGGGCTCACACAAAATTATTCCAATGACTGTTCGTGGTCTCCACCCACTGATCTCGTAGCTCCTGTTGTATGTTAAGTTTAATTTTCATGGTCAGTAGTCATTCTGTTTTGTAACCTTTTTTTTCTTGTTTTGTCCTGCAATTATCTCCTTCCATCTTCTCATCTATTCAGACCAGCTTCCCTGTTAGTCTCTATTAAAAAAAATGATGCTACCACTACTATGTTTTGTGGTGGGTTTTATGTGTTCAAAGTAATTTGCAGAATTAGTTTTTTCCCTACTCATTTGGACAAAAGTAGATTAGTTTCAGTCCCAGCTAACATAAGCAGCTTCCACATGTCTACTGTGTCCCCTATTTGGCTTGTGACAAACAGGCCTTCTGATTTCTTTCTTTCAATAATGACTTTCTTCCATGATCGTCATAATGAGTACATGATTTATCACTGTCCTCTCAAAAACGTTGCATCTTTCCATCTCATTAAGTTCAGAGTTAATGTGAGCTGACATCTGTTAGCTGCCTTAGGTGGAGAGCCATGTCTTGGTAGGTCACCAGTTCTTTATTTTTCTATGTTTGGATTATAAATTGAACAGTATTCTGTAAAAAAAAAAAAAAAAAACGTAACTTGGGACACAATTTTATAATTTAACCCTGCTTTTTTCACCACAATAACACTGTTTATTCTCCAACAAACCTTGAGGCCTTCATGGAACAGTTGCACTTTGATTAGATTATTCACAGGTAGTCTATATTTACTAAATATGATACACACAACGGGCAACAGCTGGTTGCTTCTGTTTTTTTTTTTTTTTGTTTAAGGATAGCGATAATGCCTTCCAACAAAAATATTCTTGGACATGTTTTACTGTTTTCCCTGTAAATGTGTGAGTTCTCTCCTACTCCAACTTCCTCCCACAGTTAAAACCATGACTGTTAGGTTGTAGTTAATTTGTTTGTGCATGGTTGCTCTGTGATGAACTGTCAAAATGTCCAGGGTGTATTTCACCTCTCGCCCAATGCCTGCTGGAGAAAGGCACCGGGTCCCCTGGGACTCAGTACAAGAGGATATAGACAATAGAAGGTTTGATTTTATAAGTATTTGATTGACTGACTTATTGCTCAGTTATCTTAGACTACACTTCTACAAAAAATGTCCCAACACTGATGTTATCTTGTTTACCTCACCAGAAGAAGCTATAATAGTTTTTGGCTGACTTTCAGAAAAATAGATAAATGTAAGCCATTTAAAACATAGAACATTTACGCAATAATTTTTGTTTATTGTAAAAATAAGCAACACATTCTAAGAACGAAGAATAATATAGAAGAAACCAAACTAGGAAACAATTTTGTAGACTTGCACTGTTTGTATTGTCACACATTCAAAAATAACTAGCAATGTCTTGTTAGCCTACATCTATACCAGTTCTCTCCTTCAAATTGGGGTTTATTCTTTTATTTATGATAGACAAAATATCAATAATTTCTGCTTTTAATGTTTGAGTGAGAAAAGGTTGATGACTGATGACTTGCTTAGTTAAAAAAAATACAATAAATCAGCTCCCTCTAGTGGCGTTTAAAAGCATTGAAGTTTGATGTGCGATAAGCTGCCTCATGATAAATTGTGTCGTCATTAACAGATATGCAGATCATTTTTAGTTACAACTCAAAAATAAGTATTTTTTCCGCTTGACGAATCACCATCACTCATATCAGGCTATCAGTACAACTAAATCAAGAGCTGAAAAAGGTCCAAAGGTCACAATGTTGGTGTTTAATATTTTACATACCGTAACATAATCACATAACCAATGTAGAAAAAAAAGGCACATGTTATAAGTTGAATACAATCCAGACATTTTTATGCCTTTTCCAGCTCCTCCACCTTCAGTTAGTAGTTTATAGTCTTTAGGATAAAATGCATAGAGATTGGGGGGGGGGGGAAAACATTACAATGCAGCTGCAATTGTGAGCATCATTTATCAACATCGTATTCCTTTCAAGTTTTATAGAAAAGGCAATGAAATATTTATGGAAGCATGCAGCAGACAGCAATCAGTGCCTAATAAGGTATTATGATAAGTGAGAAATATGAATGACAGCAGCTGTCAGATGAAACTATTTGTTCCTTACTTAAGTTGTGATAAAGACATAATGAAACTGCACACTCTGTTCCAGTTCACAGGCGGTGTAAACCCACAGATGACCACTGTGGACAGTATCATGTGTCAAGTTAAAAGTTTCTGGTTTCCAAGTTGAAAAAGAAGAGGAAGCTGGTAAAAAAAAACTTGCTGCAACCCAGTTTCTCTTTGACCTGGCAAATAGTTGCATTATTTGGCCAATATACTTGGATTTCATGTTTTGTAGCTCAAAATCAAAACTAAACAGTGATTGTAGATTATATTTTGAGGCAAAACTAAGCATTCAAAGCAAACTAGAATACGTGATTAGTAGATAAAAATGATTTTATATTTACAGTAGCATTTACATTGTACAGCTAAAGTGTCCACGACAGTCTCACACCTCGGCATCAGAGAGTGATTTGTCTTTGCTTCGAATGGTGACCATTGAGTTTGTGTAGGTGTAAGAGCGGGACACCTCCTCCTGGAAGGCATTCTCCAGGACCTTTAGGATGGATTTGCGAACTTTATCCTTAAAGTCCTGGCCCATGAACACGTACAGCAGCGGGTTCAGGCAGCTATTCAGAAAGGCCAGGCTTGTGGCGATCGGGACTCCGATTACGATGATGTGGAGCAGCATCTCATTTGAGTGATTTCCCATGTTGCTTACCATCTCCAGCAGACCCATGACGTGAAAGGGAGCCCAGCAAAGGAAAAATGTGACAATAATGGCGGCAATTATCTTGAAAGAGCGACTAGATTGGTTGGCCAGTGTGCGGTTTCGTCTAAGGCGGTGTATTATGACGGCATAGCAGGAGACGATGATGCTGAAGGGGATGACGAAGCCCAGGAGGAAGCGGGTGATGACCATGGCCTTGTGGCGGAAAAGCTGCAGCTCAAGGACAGATTGATTTTCACTGTCCTCAGACATAGCAAAATTGTTGAAGCAGTTGATAATGTTCTCATTCTCATATGACGGCCCGGTATCCCTGAAGACAAAGTACGGAGCACTGAGGATCAACGCCAACGCCCAAACACACAGACTGATGCACGACGCCTTACGCAAATTCCTGTGATTCTGCGCCCAGACAGGCCAGACAACAGACACGCATCTGTCCACACTGATCACCACCAGAATGTAGACGCTGGCAAACATGTTCAGGAAACTGATGGTAGTGTTCAACTTGCACATAAACTTGCCAAATGGCCAGTGGAAGCCCATAGCTGTATATGTCACACTGAGTGGTAAGAAGGCAGTGAAGAGGAAGTCAGCAATGGCCAAGTTGAGGAACCAAATCGTGTTGACCGTTTTTTTCATTTTGAAGCCAGTCACCCAGATAACCACTCCATTCCCAAGAACCCCCAAGACAAAGGCGAGCGAGTAGACGATGAGGGACATTATGGTGAGGGACTGCCTCAGCTCAGAGTGCTCATCTTTGTTGCCATGGTCGTGATCATCCCTGTAGTAGTCGTCGTCATCCTCATAGAAGGAGTCATTGTTGATTAGATCAGTGATATTGCTGTAATAGTAAGAAGTTTGCTCCATCATCGTTAAAGACCCTGCAAGAAATCACAAAACATTGAAGGGAAATTTTAAAAATCAATTAAAAACATTTAGAGGAACAACTTAAAAAGCCTAAAGTTTTCATATAGATTCAGATTCTATGCATTTTTTTTATCTTACCAAAATGTTTTGCCTGACTAAAGATAAATTACACTACATTTTTTAAATCTTGCATTTGGATGAGTTGAAAGAAGTGTGAGACAGGTTTTGTTTTTGGTTAGAGACACCATTGTACTCAAACAAAGTGATTATTAAATTTTAATTAATAAGTTATCTGAATATTCTTTAAATTAACCAGATTACATTTTACAATCCCAAAAAGCAGCTGTGTCAGTGACTAAAACCACATAGAAAACATTAGGAATTAAAAAAAAAATTTCTTTAAAATTTTCAAGAAAGAAAGAAGACAAAAACAAAACCTGCAAGTATTGCAGGACATCTGCTGTGTGGTTAAAGCTGCACTTGTTGGTGTTCTTTAGCGGTTTTGTTCTTTGGACCAGGACATCTTTATGTCAAACAGCATTTAGAGCAACCTCTGGTGACTTTAGGGAAAAATGACCAAATGGCATGGGCGTTGGTCAGATTTCTAAGGAACCTCTGAGTCACATAATGGGACTCAAGAAGTGGGAGAGAAGTGGGCTACTGGACATATCATGGTGTAAAAAATATTTGCCCCCTTGATGATTTCTTCTGTTTGTGTGGTATTTTTAGTAGCCACACGCAAGTCAGATTACTGTCAAAACTGTTGAATAAAAAAAAAAAAAATTCCAAGACCTATCTGACAGGTCTTGTTTATTTTTATTTTTTTTTTTAAACAAAGTTTAGAAAAAGCTTTCACAACATATAACAAACTAAATCATTTGACTCCACAGTCTTGGAAAGGATCTCTGCAAGGCTTTGGGACTCCAGAGAAACAAAGTGAGAGTCATCACCCTTAAATGGAAAAAAACATGGAAATGTGGGGAACCTTTCCAGGATCGAAAGCCATGCCAAAATTATCCCAAGAACACACAGAAGACTTGTCCAAGACATCAGAAAAGAAGTGAACACAACAGCTGAAACAGAACAGGCTGTGGTACAGTCAGTGCTCAACAACATTAGTAATTAAAACGGCATCCAAACAAAGACTCAGCCCACATTTGCTGAAAAATTTATGTGAAGGACTTTGGGAAAATATTCTGTGGAATACTGAGAGAAATGTTTAACTTTTTGGACACCAAGTCATGTTCTGCATGTGACATAAAATTAACAGTCCAACAAAGTTGATGTGTTATGGATTGCAGCTGTTTTCTGGCTTCAGATCCTGGTTCTGTATTTCTTACTCTAACTGATGACAGATATCTGATCATCAGTTCATGATATGAAGTTCAAGCATTAACCTGATGGTAGCTGCTGCCACCGACCAATGTTGGTCATTAAGTTGCACCAACATTGAAATGACATTTGGAGATATTGTCATTGTGGAAAAGCACTTTTGTCATCTGTAGATATGTAATCAATTCAGGTTATCAGGAAAACAAACACAACCCCCACAACCAGTTGCATCTTGAAATGTAACTACAGCAGAAAACCTGACGGAAAGAGGTTATATTACAGACTGGTAAAAACCAGCCAAGGTCTCCCAGGACACGCTGGAGCCACTATGGATCATGGCTGACCTGGGAACGATTCCCCTAAAGCAGTTGCCCCAGTAGCTGAGGAGAGGGAAGTTTGGGCCTCTTTAGTTAGACTGCTGCCCCGCGACCCGACTTCAGATAAGCGGAAAAAAATGGGTGGATAGAGGAATGGATGCATGGAGGGATGGATGGAGGGATGGATGGATGGAGGGATGGATGGATGGCAAAACCAGTCCCTTTGCTTCGTTCAGAGGGTCTGGGGTCTCAGCTACTGAGAATCGATTGCTTCCTGGAAGCGTAGACTGTGCTAAAGTTTGAAATTTTACCCAACAGTCTCCAACCTTTATCCATGGTGGATGTAATGCACCAGTTCAACGCTGTGAAGGTTACTGGAAATTACCGTGCTCTATGAACAACCATCCTCCATTGCAAAGAGAGAAACGCTGAACTGAACAAGTGGCTGTTAATGTTAATTCGATATCCGGAAGCGTGGCCAACATGGACTGAATGGCTTCCTTCTCTTCCTCCGCTGCTGCCGTTGCTAAAACTACAGGCAGGCTCAGAATACAGTTCTAAAACAGAGCAGAACTTTTACGTTCTGGTTCACAACTTCTCACTCTGTTTGCCGATTGGCCCGGTAGAAGATTCTGCCGGAGGAATCCAAGTATGTGGGAGAAAGACCAGACTGTGCTGTGAAGTGAGATTTGAATCAGTCAGAATCGTACAGGTAGGTGATGGCCAGGCTTCCTGTATTAGTCAGAAACAAATTTTGACTCACTGCTAATATTAACAAGGGTAATGTTCTAAACACGGTAGAGATAAGTTCAGCCAGCTTAAATCCAGTGGAGGTCATTTGAACAAAGCAAAACCTGCAGCATCAGAGTAAACAACCTTTAAGTTAATTTGCAGAGAATACTAACTTAACTCCTCACTTCCACCGCTTTAAAGTGCATGAACCACTCTGACTGCTGTGCTTTTGGGAGCTTGTTGACTCTGTATCCAAATAAACACATCTAGATATACAAACATTCTCAAATAAAATAAAAAAATCCCCCCCTGCAGCAGCGATAAATTAAAAGGGTTTATAACCTCTGAGTGGGCTCACACAAAGCAAAGCATCAATTTCTGCGCTGCGTGTAAATCGGAGATCAAAGCGAGAGTAAAAGTGGGACCGGGGGTTTTGATGAGCAGAAGCTTTTTGCTCTCCGTCGAAATCCAACCCAAACCATCGCAGCGCATCAATAAAACTCATCTCACAAAGTGCGGCGGAGTTTAACATCCTCGGGTTATTATTTTCAGCATCGCAGCAAAACCCAGATTCACACAGGAATCGTTGTTTTTCCCCCATACAAAAAACAAACAACAAAAAAACAAAAAACAAAAGGTACATTTCAACCATTCAATCTCAATCCCACATTTAATCGCTCCCGACTTGTTTAATCTCTTGATAAAACGCCAGTTTTTAATCGTCCTACCTTGTCTGGTCCGGATGAGTCCAATGCGCTCAGCAGTTCAGTCTGCTTTGGGGGAAAATGTGGAGCTCAGATCCTTTGACACCCCTAATTGTTTGACATCACAGCTGGGCGGGACGCCCGGGGCTCGCAGCCTCCTCATCTGGCGAGCAGGGAGCTGCTGCACTTCTTAGATCTAAATGCTTATGATTTGCAAAAATATAATCCTACAGACGTCAGAGCAGATTCTTTTCTTTTCTTTTCCCTTCTTCTCTTTTCTCTTCTCTTCTTTTCTTTTTTCTTCTTCTCTAGAAGTCCAGTTCACAGAAGCCCAATACACAAACCCTTTTGTCACGTCTGATTACCCAACACATTGTCTATTTTCCCTTTCACTTCATTCAGTATATGTTAGAACAGTCCTTGGTTTAATATCATTGTTATACAAAATTTGTATTCCACCCCTGAGTCTATTATTGATGTTGCATCTCAAAAAGCTAAAGAAAAATAAAGTTAAAAAAACCCCAAAAAGTTGTTTTATTTTCATGACTCAATGAAGGCAAGAAGTTCAAATACTGGTAGCAACTGGAAACAAAACTAGAAAGCAATGGCAAAGACATGACAAGAATCTGACAGGGAGCACAGGTTGGGTTAAATACACCGGAGGTAAACAGGGTAAACGAAGGACGTCTGGGAACAATCCAGGGGTAGACAGACAGGGATGAATAAACGCACACAGAAATCCTCACATTGAGAGGAATGGGAAGAAAAAGCTAATTCAAGAATTTGCAGGTGATTCATGAAGTGTGGGCAGCAGAAGGATTCAGTATTTTAAATGCTATTGAAAAGGCCACTGGCCACAAATTTCACACTCCTTATTTTAAGTATGACAGTTTTACCAAGTATTTAGTGAAGATTGGCAAACAGAAAACCAAGAGTCTCAGCTTTGAGGAACTGATCCTGTTTCTACTTCCTGTTATGATCGGCCCTGTTCTGAAGAAGAGTCTCTCTGAGGGGACAGGTGTTTCAATACAGAGACTAATTGCATCCCATGTGAAGGAAGTGGATACTGAACATTTGGTTCGCCACCAGCTCAGCGGGTCTGTGAAAGAGTCTCCTCAAGATTTAATCCCATTTCCACCGTGGAGTCTGCTGATGGACTCGTTTTAGTTTCACCAGTCGCTAATTCTTCAAAGAACCTCCAAACAGCCGATGCGTGCGGCTCCTCTTCTGGACACTTTGCTGCCTCTTGTCCCTCTTGGTCCTGTGACTGGCTGGATCTTGTTGAAATTATTCTCTGAAGAGTTTCATCAGCTGCTCTGGTTTCACTGAATCTTGGGTTAAGGTTTCTGGTGGTTTCTGATCGAACAGGGTTGCACTCCATCCTGTGGAATTTAATTTCCATGCATGGACTCCTTCACTTTCCCCCTGGTTATTCTGGTCTAGTGCTCAACTGTCTGTTAACTCTTGAACATTTAGGAGGCTGCAACATAACTGAAAATGAGCAAACAGTGATGTGTTGAACTCTGTGATAAACCCAGTCATGCCTAATCTGCTTGGCTTGTCATGATACTAATACATTGACTAAACATGACAGCTGGGAAATAATAACATCATGGTATGATATGTAGGACTGCATCTGCCTTGCTCATCTCCTCAGTGAACAGTGCAGGCTTCACGTTCTTCATGACTCAGAAGGATGGGAGGTGCTCTGGTTATAGTGGAGGTGACTGTATCCTTGAAATCCAGAATCTGTTTTAGTGGAGTCCCACCTACTAACCTAATCTTGTTTCAGCTCCAGCTCACGAATGCCCATCTGTCGTTGGACAGTGTTGAGCTTCTCTGTTCATCACCTTCAGAGAATCTCTTACAAGCCAGTTAATTGTGTGTGCAAAGCTTGTTTGGTGGATCCCATTTCAGGGTTTTAGTCGCATTTTAGCTGCGTTCCCTCTAACACGGCACACTACTTTGCTTTCCACGTCCCTTTCTTGTGCCACTTTGAGCAGCTCTGCTGCTAATTTCTCAGAAGAATGTCTGACACAGAACGTGAAACAAGCCAGTAGGCAGGACGGTTTGTAATTTTCAACAAAATGGCATGTAGAATGTGGTGGTTCGGGATTTCCAGCAGTCGGTTGTTATCCAGACAGTTGTTGCTTTTTTTACCCTTTCTAGGAGCAAAGCATGTTCTCTGTCAGCCTGGGGTGAATTTTTGGGGGGAGTGTTTTTCTGCTTGGAAGTTTACATGTTGGACTGAGAGCTTCAGCATACTTTCTGAATCCTTTGACCTCCATGACTGAAAAGGACTGAAAGTCTTATGAAATTGTTTTACTCAGTTCCTTATTTTTTGTTTTTTTTTTTGTTTTAATGGGTTCATGACCTTTTGAAAAAAAAAAAGCCTGGGTGGTTGTAATAATGCACTGACGGATGAAGAGTTTCCAAATGCCTACGCAGGTTGTCGGTGGAGCCTTCTCGATGCAAAATGTTAACTTTGCACAATCTGATCTCTGCCTTTAAACTGTCTGTCATGTCAAAATATATCCAAACTGTGCTGCGTTTTCTTTAACTCATAATTACTCTGTGCAGCCTCTACCTAAGGCTCACTTTTCTCTCCCTCACTTTCTTCTTGTCTCCGCCGGCTTTGAGAAAACCTTGCTCTCCTTTACTCTCCCACGAATCTCTGAACAGCTATCTTACTCATGCTTAAGTGCAAGTCTTTTCCTCAGGTGCCCTCACATCCTCCACAGCAGTCCTTTGGGAAACTCCAAAACAGAGCGTAAGCAAACGGCTTCAGTAAATGCATAAATTGAGGGTTGCTGAGATGACTACTGGAGGGAGAGAATCTGACTTCTCATCCACCCACCGATGATCCTGCAGTGTAATGTTTGCCACTCTGTGGCCTGAGTTCATGTTTTGCTGCAGGTTAAGTGTTCAGTAATTGCTGCATGCTGACTTCTCACCTGAGCGCAAACATTTTAATGTCTCCCTTCTTTTTACCTTTGACGTCATTGTTTCGCTGAGCTTGCGGAACCCGCTGGGATTTTGGCACACACAGTTTTCCCCAAACAAAGCAGATGCTTGCAGTGAATTTATGCTTCAATAGAGACAAAGCTTGGAAGTAACATCAATCAGACTCAGCACATTTTAAGACCTGATATGATGTTATTTTTAATAATTCATGACAGCTTACTAAAAGTTTCGTAGCAGTGGATGAATACTGAACATATAGGCTTGTAGGATCAGACTTTGCAAATCTTGCTAACTTTACCCTTAAGAATTTTTTAAAAATTATTTTCCTCAAGTGACCCTTGTTTAACAGTGAAACAACACAGGAAAGTGGGCTGTGAGAGAGGGGGAAGGCATGCAGAAAAGGTCAACAGGTCGAGGATCGAACCTGTGACGGTGAAGGCCTACATTCCAGGGGTTGTGCAACCAATCCTTAGATGAAGCTTAAGATGAAGCAGTACTTTTAACTTGTTGAAATAGCAAAGAGAAACACTGTTCCTCGGAAGTTAGATATAAATTCCTTTCTACAGTCTGGATATTTCTGGCGGCTTTATCACCCAGAAAATCATTACAGAAACAAGCCAAAAACAAAGAGGTATTCATACCCTGAAGCAAATCTGAGCAATAATTCTTCCAAGTAGCAATTTTCTTTTTTTTCACAACAGTCTGGTCAATTCCTGCTCTTTTTTCAGGTGTTATAATCTTTGATTGTATTAATTAAAACAAAAAAACTACCAGTGACGCTGTGTAATGACATCAAGCTGAATGTGGAGGAGTGGGAGCTGAAGACTCTGCAAATGTGGCTGATGTCCCCAGAGTGAAGCCCTACCTTTCAGGGATCAAATGCTTCATTTGAGTTTGTCTTTCTGCTTGAATTTCCTCCCACATGGTCTCTCTTGTGCTTTTCTTCCAACCACCCACTTATTCATTGGATGATTGTAAGCTGGAGTTTTATGTCCCTTGCCATTGTGAACTTCTGCTTTTATGTTTTTGGATAGATTTCTTGTTTTCATTATCTCTCCCCCTATTCCAGCTTAATCCCTTCGTTTGTTCAGTAATAATTGGAGTTTAGGATTTGTTTGTTCTAGTTTATTCCTTTTGTAAGTTTGGTTTCTCGTTTTTAGATGTTGGTTTTATTTTGTTTTAGTATTTGTTTTTGTCTAGGTTTTCTTCTAGTTTCATATTTTTGTCCATCAGAAGGCCACAATAAATGTGAGGGGTATGGAGAAAAAGAAATGTATAAAACTAGCCTTCAATGCGTCACAAATCTGAACAAATCTAGAAAACTGCAAAACAGCTGAAACACTGAGTTCCTTTAAATCCAGGGTAGAACCCACCTGTTTGTGTTGCCTTTGACCCATGATAACTGGAGCATTGACCAACATATTTGACGTGTTCATGACTTTAACAATGGGGCTTGACAAAATTTAATGTTAGCGGTTTCGCAGTTTGTGACTGTGTGATATGTTTAAGATGTTTATATGTTTTCACGATGTAGAAAGTTTGAAACTGCATTGTTGCTTAAACATACAATACAAATAAGCTTGGCCGATTGATTAATTGGTTGATAAAGCTACAAAATCAACCCTAAATTCCTAAAATCAACCAGTTCCACAGAGTGTGAGATGCTGGTTGCAACCTACCCCGTAAACTGGGTCCCCAGCTTATTTACACACACCCCTCACAGGAACTGAGCCTTGCCAGCAAACCAGATGTGAGGGGGTGGAAGAAAAAAAAAGGGGGATGAACACGGGAAAGGATAAGTGAGAGAAACTCCCCATATCTATTTACACGCCTTCAGTCCCTGCATACGCTCAGACCCACACCCGCTCTGTGTAGGTGGATTAATTTCTCTGTTGTCTGGTTGCTCAGGCTTTAAGAATCCAGGGGAAAGAAAGCTTCCTCTGGATTTAGTTTGCAATAGGTCTCAAAGCAATACATTTAATCTGTAGACAGCAGTTCTTCTTCCTAAACTGTAGCTCCATTTCTGGTACAGACTACAAATCCTGTTTTTACTGATGTGATCTCATGCAACCAACACTGTGCAACCTTTTCAAATGTCGCTCTGGACCATAAAGACAGACCGAGTTTTTTTC